CTGATAAAATATGCATCATATTATCACCAATATTTTATCAGTTGACAGATTTTTGATATCTCTTGTAGCAACCGAGATAATTACGCTCAAAAATTGCTCACCTCAATCATCTGCTTTTGCATCTTTTCAGCTCTTTCTATCAAATTCTCCAATTGTCGATGCTCTTCATCATTTTCCCTATCCACATAAAACTCATCAATCGGTTTCGGTGGCTCGGGCTCTTTCGCGTTTGCCAGAGAAGCTAACGAATTTCGAATCGACGTTTTCCGGGATTTACATCCGTGTAGCTCTAACAGACTATGGGCGGATGGGCGGCGTGAAGGGTCGACGATGAAAATTTGATCTACCAGGTCGCAAATGTCTTTGGTGGCGTCTGGAATCAGATTTCGACTTGAGTAGACCAATCGGTGGCGGTCGGTCCATTCGGCGACGAGTTCCTGGAATTTGTTTAGCTTGTTTAAACTTTAAAGGCCTGAGCTTAAGGTATAAACTTTGAGCTCAATTGTCTTGGTTATTTTGAGATATATCAAAAATTTGTTGATAAATTGTTCATCACAATATCACCAATATTTTATCAGTTGACAGAATTTTGATATATTTCATGGGAGTGGAGATAATTGAGCTCAAAGCCACTCACCCTATGCAAGGCATCCCCATGAAAATGCATGAAATGATCCAGAAATGGTGGATATCTGGTGAGCATCGTCACGAGCACACACCCGACGGACCAGATGTCTGAAGAAGGCGTTAGACACGGATATGACTCCCAGGATTTGAACGCTTCTGGAGGAGATGCCAGAAGAGCACGACGCTTTTGTGCGCAAGGGAGGCCTTCGATATAGGGGTCAGCAATCAGGATGTCGTTGGAGATGGTTAGGAGGAGGTTGGAGGCTGAAAATGATCCTGAATTAAAAGGCGCAGGGGGTCCTTTATAAGGACTCTTTACCATTCAATTTTCCATGAACATGCTTCTTTTCGTGTAGATATGCCAGCGCGTCAATCACATGAACAATATATCGAAGGGCGGTTTCCTGAAAAATCTCATATATCTAAGTTCCTATAGAAGATATCGTTAAGTGATCAACTGATAAATATTTGGTGATATTATGATGAACATTTTGCTAGTTGACTACATTTTGATATCTCTTACAGGTACCGAGATAAATTGACTCAAACTTGGTGATTTGGTTACGGCAGCCGTATTTGCTCTGGTAGAAGCCCATCTACACCGTCAACCTTGAGCTGAATTATCTCGGTTACTGTGGAAGATATCAAAAAGTTGTTAACTGATGAAGTGTTGCTGATAGTATGAGAAATATTTCGTCAGTTGATCGCTTTTCTATATCTTGAACAGGAACCGAGATATACATATGTTCTCAAAGTTTAAAGTTAGGGAGCATATACATGTATTACGGTAGGTTTTATAGATTTTACGGTATGTTAGTTTTAGATTTTTGATAAAAATTCACAAGCGGAAATCGCTAGAATCAATTAACGATAATTGTCCAAAATACGCCCAAGTCTTGCCCCAAAGATTAATGTACCTGCGGCAACGCATTCCTCTTCACCAGATCAGCCACTGTCCCTTGTGGTACATGTGCTCTGAACACCATCAATTCATTTGGATTCGGCCAGTGATATCCATAGATTGGAGCTAGGCGTTTGTGTCTTAACTGACACAAATCTTCAATGGCCCGGGAGATTTTTTCGGAGGCGTCGAACTGGAAGTTTTCTGCATTTTTGAGATGACGAAAATGTTTAGCATTAGATTTGCTTTATTTTAATACAAAAATCAAAGTTCTAGCTCAATTTTGAAGCGAGTTACAGCCCTATTTGTTCGCAGGGCGCGACAGCGCCTCGCCTCTTCTGTCGCGCCCGCCGCTGATCGCTTCCACGACATAGAACTAGCCGTAACTTCCTTCAAAATTGAGCTAGAACTTTGATTTTTATTTCAAAATGTTCATCTCTTTCCCCACCGTCATCGTCGGCAACTTCCACTCGGTGACCGTATAACTAGCCATGGTAGCCGTATAAACATATTTTGACGTTTTACACAAACTGTGCCGTTCGCAAATTGTACCTGAAAGTGGAAAAGAAAGGTTTTTGGGATAGCCACACCCTTTTCAATTTCTTTTTTCTTTTGTTCCCCTTTTTCGTCTCTTAGTTACCAATGAACTAATTTTGCAAAATTTCTCTTTTACTTTTTGAAAACCGGTTTTTTCTAGGGAAATGGGTGATAAGGAAAGGGAAATTGGTTTGTTTTGTTGGGGAATTTGGAAAACTGCGTAGCTATGGAGAAGAATATAAAAAATCAGAAATTACAGAAGACAGAAAAATGGGAACTACAGACTACAAAAAATATCAAAAGTCTAGAAATGGAATTCCCAGATTTTTCCAGGGACCATAACTCAAAAACCTGTGGACCAAAATTTTTGAAAACTAGCTATTTAGAAAGTAAATTTTGAAAATATTAAATTTTGAAAGAACCAATTTTTTTTAGTATTCAAATCACTGAAAAAAGTTATATGCCTCTAATAGAAGCCTACCAAGCCCTCAGCTTTGAGCTCAATTATCTTGGTTCCTATAAGAGATATCAAAAAGTAATCAACTGATAAAATATAGATGATAAAATGATAAACAGTTTATTAGTAGATAATTTTTTGATATCTTTCACAGAAAAAAATTGGCTCAAAGTTAGAAGTTTAGGTACCTGAAAAATGAGATTTTCTTTTCAGTTTCCGTCAAAAAACCCAATCTGAAATTTTTTCAAATCGACTGAACGTTAATCCAGTATTGTAGTTTTACACTTTCAGACCTAAACCAATAGGATCAAGTTTTCAAAATTTTGAAAAATACGCCTTCTATTAGATTTCCTAACATTCAAATTTTGAGCTCAGTTATCTCGGTTGCTCTCAGAGATATCAAAAAATTGTCAACTGATAAATTGTTTATCATTTTATCATCTATATTTTATCAGTTGATCACTTTTTGATATCACTCATAGGAACCGAGATAAATGAGCTCAAAGTGTATATTTAGGGCTTCTATAAGGGCAAATACGGCGTTTCTATTTTTAAATCCTCCTTTCTACCCATTTTTTAAAAGAAAATCATCAAAAACCAAGCAGAACAACTTCCTTACTTTATAAAAAAATTGCGGAAGTTTAGGTTTTTCATCCTTCTCCTCTCCCAAAAATTCACATGTTTTTTGTCTTCATCACAGGAACACAAAACCATTTCTCTCTCTCTCTCTCTCTCTCTCTCTCTCTCTCTCTCTCTCTCTCTCTCTCTCTCTCTCTCTCTCTCTCTCTCTCTCTCTCTCTCTCTCTCTCTCTCTCTCTCTCTCTCTCTCTCTCTCTCTCTCTCTCTCTCTCTCTCTCTCTCTCTCTCTCTCTCTCTCTCTCTCTCTCTCTCTCTC